AACTGATCAGCATTACTAAATGTTCCTTTCAGTTGGATGGCGTTGTCTAATTGCTTCCAATGGTTTTCAATGGGGTTGAGGTCTGGTGAATTAGCTAGTCATTTCATTAAACTGATTTGGTTAGTATTAATCCAGGTTTTAATAAGTTTAGAAGCATGTTTAGGGTCATTGTCTTGCTGGAATTGCCATCTTAAAGGCATATTATCATCAGCAAAAGGAACCATTTGTTTTTCCAAAATTTCTTTATATACGAAACGGTCCATAATGCTGTCAATTTGAAATAATGGTCCCAAACCGGAAAAACCCGAAAAGCATCCCCAAACCATCACTCCTTTTCCATTACCATGTTTAAAAACAGCTCTTGAATACTTTGGGTTTATTCGGTTGCACTTTGGGCGTCTTACATTTTTTTTTCCATCTGAATGATGCAGGTTAAATTTTGACTCATCACTCCATAAAATGTGACTCCATTGTTCTACTGTCCAATTTTTATGAGCATGGGCAAATTCTAATCTAGATTTTCTATTTTTTTCTGAAATAAAATGGTTTTTTTGCAGCTCTGTAATTAAATAGTCCTGCTATATCAAGACGTCTTCTTACAGTATTTTCTGAAACTTTTAGTTCTAATTCATTAATTACATCTCTAGCAGTAGCAAAAGGATGCTTTTTCACAAACTTCACTAATCTACGATCAGTAACTTTTGATATTTTGGGGGGACCACCCCCAATGTGCTTTGTTTTGACAGTGCCTCTGACTTTGTTTCTGCTGATCCATTGGTTGATCACCAATTTTTCCACATTATATTTGACAGATAGTTCATGTTGTTGAACTCTTTCACTAAAATCAGCAATTACTTTTTGTTTAAATAAGGTACTATATTTATTTCTTGCCATTATTTAATCCTAAAATGTTAGAATTATATACCAAAGTTTATTATTACAACAAAATGATATTTTAATAAAGTTGCACTTTCGAAACAAAATTGTAATAAAAAAAAAGAAGTTTATCTACTTAAAGTGATTTACTTTGGTTTTATTGTTTAAGTTGCTTTTGTTTTGAAGTCTATTTTAATTTTTTAAATTACCAATACTTGTATTTTGCACGCAACTTACTTTACTTTTTTTGTGTTAAATATAAAATTATTTTAAAAATTTGTTTTAATTGTATTAATAAGTATGATTTTGCAAAGTTAAATGAAAAAATAACATAATTTGTATCTATAAATAAAGATTTTTCAATTTAATCATGTTTTGGAAGTCACTGTATATATATATATATATATATATATATATATATATATATATACACATATATATAAGTATACAAAAGTACATATATGTGTATATATATATATATAATATATATATATATATATATATATATATACATATATATAAGTATACAAAAGTACATATATGTGTATATATATATATATATATATATATATATATATATATATATATATATATATATATATATATATATATATATATATAACATATGTACAATTTATAAGTATATAAATGAGTTTATTCTTTTTTAAACCAACACAAAATGCTATATGAACTTATATTTATCATATTTGCTACAATAAGCTTTAAAGTATATATATATATATATATATATATATATATATATATATATATATATATATATATATATATATATATATATATTATATATATATATTTATATATACATATACATACATATGTTACTTTTCTTTAGATGAATAAAAATAAAAAATTAAACATTGATACATTCAGGATGGTGATTTTGATTTTGAGGATCTGAGTATAGAATAGAATCTTTAAAATAACAAAAGTACAAATTTTAATCAATTTATTAATAATGAAATTTTAATTAAATAAATTTTCGTTTTCTATATGATCTACTCCTTATAATTATTTGCACCCAACTATTAATAGTTGATGATTAAGTTTAATTGCATAACTTGTATATTATAAATAATAATAACAAGTCCAAGATTATTCATTCTTATTAACTTGATACTATCATGTAGACATAAATTTATACTAACAAAACTTTAGTTGCAAAATTTTTAATATAATAATAACAATTATAAAATGAAATATATATTAAGCAAAAATTTAAAATTATGAAATTTTTTATCAATATTTTAAAATATTTTTAAATCCGCAAGTAAAATAAAACAATGTTTTCTAGATCTGATAGCAATACATGTGGGATCACCCTCTCTATTTTCTGAAACCATCTGCGGGCACTTCAGTTGCAGGAAATATGATCACCCATGGAATCAATTTGAGTTAATTTGAAATGAGCAAGTTGTACTGATGTAGGAGTCACTACATACTCTATATGTAGATACATTCATAAGTAAAGAAAAAGAGTTGCCTACAAGCACTGTTTAAAGAGATAAAAATATATTTTTTCTTTTTAGAAAAAAATATTTTTTTGTCATTGAAGTTCTGACACAGTAATGTGAAGCAAAAAAAAAAGATATTTTAAAACAGTTTCTAATTAATGTTGAACAATAAATCTTTAATTAATGAAAAATATTACAAGTAGCATTTCTTCACAGCAAAATCCTAAATCTTAGTCCATAGTTTAAGACATTTAGTTCTTAAAACAAGGAATATTTATCTCGTTTTAAGAAGTAAATTTCCTATTAAATCCTAGTAAATTTGTTTCTTAAAACAAGAAATATATTTCTTATCTTAAACTACGGACAAAGATTTACGATTTTGCTGTGTTCATATTTTGATTTGTATTCATAACTAATATTAAAGCATTTATATTTGTGTTGTTAGGTATATGGTTAGCTATAGAATGGAAAGTTTAAAAAGTTCAAATCCACAAAGCATAAAGTATAAATATGGAGTCTGGAAGCATTGTACTGAATGTGGAAAGAAAAAATACTTGAAGTAAATGTTTTTTTTATATATATATAATAATGTAATATTTATACTTTAATAAAAAGTTAAAAAGTTTGTTTAATATTTTTAAATTAATTTTTATTATATTATATTAATAATGTTTCTATAGTTATTTTTAAATGGATAATTTTGCTCGTGGTCTACCATTTGATAAATTTATTTATGGTACATTATTTCAAGAACACAAGATACGATTATAATGTTAATAGACTACCGGTGTTGATTCAAAGGTAAAAACGAATTTTTCAAAGCAATCAAAGTTTATATTATAAGCATATAAAATGTTTGAAAAATGCTAATGCAAAAGCTTATACAATAATATGCAAGCTTAAAAAAATTTAAAAAAAAAAGGAAAAGCTTATGCAAAAAGTGAAATAAGGCTCACAATATATGCTTACAATATATCTTTCTTAATTCCACAGATTTTAAGATATAATTTATGCCATGATTTTGTAATTTGTTTTGTGTTTTAGATATAAGTTTGACTATAATCAAGAGAATACGAGAAAATTTTTTTTACAAAATAAGTTAATTTAGACGTCTACAAACGTATTTGAATACATATTTTTTAAGAGATCTGAAAAAGTTCATAAAGATTGAATAGTTACAAATAACATTTTGAAAAGAGTTTCTCCTATCAATTTTTTATTAATTGAGTTTTTCTTGTAATACGTTATAAGCATATTAAGGCATCTTGAAAAACAGTTGCAGCATTATTTATAGTAAAAAAGTAGATGTAGCAAAATAAACTTTTAACTGTGAAAAGAAAGTTTTAAAGTTTTTCTAGCTACGGGCTTTTTTTTTTTTTGCCTCTATGGCAGCACCCTCTTGAGTAGCAGGACTTTCTTATTAAGTTTTTACTTTATTAGGTTTCAGGTAATTTTTTTTCGGACCATCTGCAGCTTATTAGGACTAATTACCTGAGCACATTAATACCATAAGTATCTCAATTATGATACATACGCAACAAATTATTTCTCCCGGTGATGTTTTTTTTGATGTTTTATGAAACTTTAGCTTTTTTAAAATCTTTGTTTTTGTAAAAGTGTATCATTACATATGTTTGATCTCTATAAAACTTCAAAAGTATTATGTATTTTAAAATAATAAAAAAAAATTAAAAAAAAAAAACAGTCACCAGTGGTAGAAACCCTGACGGAGTGGTAGAAGTTCGACGCCTTATCCACTCGGCCACACTGCTACATTTTTGAGCAAAAAAAATAATATAACGACTTTTTAAAGGGAAAAAATTTTATAGATCAAAATTAAGAATCACTTGACGCAATGCAATTTTCAAGTGAAAATCTGTAAAACTTGTAAAAATGTTTCAGAATGTTTTTAACATACGTTTTAACATTGCTTAATTTTAAGTTTACCTACGTTAGACATTTGGATACATGTTCAATCACGTTTTCCTATAAAATAATGCTGCTGCAACTCTCGCCATTACATCGCTTGCAATGACTGCCCAGGTTACTGTGTCAAACAGGCTCGAAAGCACACTACTACTACTACTACTACTTACTACTACTACTACTACTACTACTACTACTACTACTACTACTACTACTACTACTACTACTACTACTACTACTACTACTACTATTAAGTTCAGTATTATTAAATAGATATATTATATTTATATTCTTATTAAAAGTTAAGTTATATTTAATATATTCTTGGGTGAGGTACAAAGTCCTGTTTTTACCTGTTTTACAAATCACTTACTCCTAATACAAGAATGAATAAATAAATAAATTTCTTTATGAGAAATAAAAAAGAAAAATTTAATTAACAACTTTAACAAAAGTTAACATTTAATTTTTCTAAATATTTAACAGAGTTAAAATATGTTTAAATAAATCAAAACAAACACTAAATAATTAGGATATAAATAAATTTAACTTCATTCAGGGATAGTTAACATTTTAAAATGTTTTTAAAATAATTAATATTTTACTTAATAAATATGGTCAAACATGAATATTAAAAAAAGAACTCCGCCCTCAAACAAATAAAGTTAACAGTTATAATTACAATATTTTTAGAGAAATATTAAAAAAATAATTAAAAAAAAAAACCTTTAGGATTAATTACAATTGGCTTCATTTCTTTAGCTAAAATAAAAAAAAGTGTATAACAGTAAAAATAAAAGTCTATAACAGTAATAATAAAATTAAATTTAGGTTGATCATAGATGATCAAACATAAAATAGCAAGCGCAAACTGTGAATATAAAACAACATAAAATATTACTTGAATTCCCATTAACAACAAACAAGTTTTTTATTGAACCGTTTTGAACATCTGCCCATGGATTTGAAGCATATACTTTGACATTATCAAAGCTTTCAGCTTGGTTGTTTATTATAGAAAAGACAGTTTGTTCATTTATTCTGATTTTGTATATATAAAACAACCCATTGAAAACTTGACATATTACAATGTTTGACCACTGATTAATTTCAAATACATCTGTTGAAAAAGTATGCACATCCAAATATCCATTAATTGAAGATGCTATGTCAAGTACGCCAGTACCTTGTGCATTTGACCAAATTCCTGGTGTTTTATCTCCATAATTAGAATGATCAGAACCAATAGTGAAATGAATAACATTATGTGAACCAAAATCAAACTTAAATGGATTGAAGTCTAGTGAAACAAAGAACTCTTTATCTAGGACTGGAATTTCAGCAACCATTTTTCCTTTTGCTAATGGAGTAACGAAGTTGTCAACAATGTATTCTAAAATACAACATGGTATATGAAATTATATGCCAAAATAAAATTATGCACATAACTCACAATCAGTTTTGATAAAGCAAGGAAATGCTAAAAAGAAATTATAAAATTCAAAAAGATGTTTAATAACTTTAATTTTTTTTAACTAGATATTATAAACTAATAACTGCTAATTAATATATTGTAACAAAACATAGTCTATATTTTTTATTATGACAAGTTTAAGTGCTAACTTTAAGAAAATCAATTAAATTAACTTTTAAATAAAACTGTTCATTTTTGGAATATTGATATAGTTTATTATTTCAAGTTAATATATTTTTTTACTGTATTTACCTCCCCAAGGTCAGAGGAGCCTGTAGTTATTTTTAAAAGTACTTTTAATAGAAACAATATAATTAATAATTGGGACTTCCGTTAAAGTAAAAAGCGTTTTTATTTATTAAGTTGTTGATTTCACAAACTATAATTTATATTTATTATTTTTCTTTCATTTTGAAGATGAAAATTAAAGAAAAATAATAATATATAATACCAGATAAGTAATCGATTATCCATCTGTCAACAGCTTTAAAGCCAGCCTCGATAAGCTCCAATGTTACTACAGCTCGCAGCTTTCCTTAGTGAAAATTGTAATATGAGCTTCACAAAAACTAACTGTAATCTGACTATCTATGACTATCTATGATACTACTACTACTACTACTACTACTACTACTACTACTACTACTACTACTACTACTACTACTACTACTACTACTACTACTACTACTACTACTACTACTACTACTACTACTACTACTACTACTACTACCTTTTACCATAAACTTGTGTGGGTAGTTTCAAAAACTTACAGTAAAGTAAGGATTGTAAACCATATAACAACTCATTTTATAAAATTTTACACAACTTGATTAGGAAATATTAAAAAAAATGTTGCAACTTGCACACAAAGTTTTTAATCCAGAGTTGGTATTGACTAAAGTTAAATATAAAAAAAACAATTGATTAAATTAATGACGTTATGCACATGATTTTTTTAATTGTTTTGATTTCTTAATTCTTTGTTTTTTGATGATTTTTTAATAATTTTTTATAGTTTTTTAATTTCTACGCAGCTGATCCGTATTCTCCATACTATATTAACACCTGCCGTAAGATTCAGAAAATATTTTATATTTAATGAAAGAATAACCACTAATCTAGCTCATAGTTTTCTAAAAGAGAAAAAAAAACTATAAATATATTGTTTGTGATGCCTGATTTAATGAACTTTGCATTAATTTTTTTACCATTAAGTCCTAACCAGACTTTGTCGCAGCAACATGTGATTGGTCGCTGCTACTTACTAACAATTTGCTGCGTTTACATGTAAAAAAAAAGTGCATTGTTCAAAAAAGGTATACGCCCTGCTTTTTTAACTCTGTATATTTATTGAAACATTTATAATATAATGATTAATAAACATATAATAAACAAATAAACAGAATAAATATTATCCTTTTAATAAATATCGTCTTTAAAAAAAAGAACAACGGAAGTTTACCGCCTCAAATGTCAGTTCACAAAAATTTGCTATCCTTGGTGATAGCCTATCAAGCTTCTAGGTAAATCTGACCTTTTTATTTTAACAACTGACTGTCTGTAAAGTGTGAATGATTAACTCTTAGCAAATAGTCTCTAATAACTTAAATAACAAAGTTACCAAATTTACTTTTTAACGAAAAAAGGAGGGCAACAAAAAGATGCTATTTGGAGAGATTTCTACAACATTAAAACAGATAAATGTTACACTACGACGTTACACAGGTAAAAGACATAAAAGAAAGATGTGGAAATTGTTGAGTATGCGACTATTTTAATGATGGATTACGTCATAAGCCACGACTGCCATCCATCGCTAGTAATAAGTTAAAGTCAGTAAAAAAACTTGCTCAACAAGTCAGTAAAAAAACTTGCTCATTAAGTCAGTAAAAAAACTTGCTCAACAAGTCAGTAAAAAAACTTGTTCAACAAGTCAGTAGAAAAAACTTGCTCATCAAGTTGGTAAAAAAACTTGCTCAACAAGTTAGTTAAAAAACTCGCTCAACAAGTCGGTAAAAAAACTTGCTCGACAAGTTAGTAAAAAAACTCGCTCATCAAGTCAGTAAAAAAACTTGCTCGACAAGTCAGTAAAAAAACTTGCTCGACAAAGATATAATACTAATAAAGATACTCAAAATTCAAGGTTCACAACTGCAATAGATCAAGTAAAAGGAAACCAATTATGATCGATGTAGAAACTGAAGGTGTTTATTTACAGAAGGAGCTTGTCCCAGGAGCATTAGTTACAGTAATGAGACAAAGATTATTTAGAAGTTTACAAGAAAAAGGGCTCACAAGAATAAGTATCATACCAATTCTTTTTAACGGACATGTACTGGAGAAGTCTGTTAAAATAAATGGACAAAACAATCTACTAAATATAATTATCAACCCGGGTGAAGGTCTTTATTTGATTGGCAAAGATTGATTAATAAAAATAAAAATAATTTAAATAAAAATGAAACTTAACACTGTTTTGGCACACCAACAATTAAAAGGTTGATTAGTAAATACTCAGCAATATTCCAAAACGTACTTGGTGCATTAAAAGACACGTTTTTACACATAGATTTAATTCCAAATGAATTTTTTTTTAATTTGGTATTAAATCTATGTGTAAAAGAGCCCAACTTAAGCCATATGCACTATTGGACAAAGTTAATGCAAAAATTGATTGGGTTATATCTTCTACCATATACAGACCAGTCAGTCTTTCTAAATAAACAAATCCAATTTTTCTAATACTAAAGAAGGACGGTATGATACGGTAATGCGGTGACTATAAATAGACTGTAAATTAGGCAGCTATATGCGATAGTTATCTTCCAAGGACTGAAGATTTGTTTGCAGCCTTGGCTAGTGGGCAAAAGTTTCTAAAACTAGATTTGGCTTTTGCATATCAGTTTGAGGACCATTCTCGCGAAATATTGACCCAATACGCATCGAGGTTTGTTTAAGTCTACACAACTGCAGTTTGGAATGCACTCAGCACCAGGAATTTTTTGAAGAGAAGTTAAAAAAAAAATTAGCAAATTGCAGTTTACAAGAGTTTGAGTTGATGATAATTTAGTGTCAGGCCAAACATATAAAAATACTTAGAAAACATTGAAAAAGTAGAGCAAAACCTGGGAAACGCAGGTCTAAAGTTAAAGAAAAGTAAGTACGTATTTATGTCATTGAAAGTTGATTACTTAGTGTTTATATAAACAAAGGATGGAGTTGTACCCTTTAAAGAAAAATCAAATGCAATTAAGAATGCGCATTGGAAACTCAGCTCAAGTCATTTCTGGGAATGATTATTATCACAGATATTTAAACCAAGCTACGAAGATTGAGCCTCGCTTGATGAACCAGTTCGGACAAAGACATTAAGGAAACCGTTTGTACATGCTGTTAATATGTGAGATGCACCAAACAGACACATAAAACGTACTAATATACTATTAGGAATATATTCATGTAAATAATGGAGTCGAATGCATATTCATACGCTGGTCCATTCACGGAACAGATGTTTTTAATTGTACGCGACGCTTACTCAAAATACACCGATGACATAATGAAAAACACAAAATTAGTAAATACATTTGAACAACTGAGAAATATATTTACCATTGATGGGATCCCCTAGGTAAATGTTAGCAACAATTCTTTCAAAAAAAATGCTATACGACATATTTTTACAGCCTTTTACCACCCATCATCAAACAGTGAAGCTGAACGAACAGTACAAACATTTAATGAAGCTTTACAAAAATGATGTCTCAATAAGGCACTTCCATTGAAACAACAGCAAACCGGATTTACGTATATATATTTTTCTTATCTTTTCCTGTGTTTTGTACTATAGATATTTTTATAAAAAAAATACTTTTTTAATTAATTTTAAAGAATTTTAAAAAATTGAACTTTTTTTAATTTGAAACAATAGGTTCAATTGATCAAAAGACAGTAATAATTTTAGGAGAATAAGATAGTATAAATAATATTTTAAATATAATACATTATGTAATAATAATAGTGTACAAAAGTTATTATAAAAACAAGATTAACTCACAAAAAAAAGGTTTTATTTTTCAAAATTCTAAATTTATTTACTCCCAACTAGGCTGCAAACAACCACATAAAGTTGGGAGTTACTAGAAAACAAAGAATAGTGATAATGAGTAAGAAAACGATAAACAGAAGATTAAGAAGACTTTATGAAGCAGAAAAACATAAAGACGAGAGAGCTACAAAGCATTAATGCAAACAATGGAGAAAAGTGATACTAAGTGATACCTGAATTCAAGAAGTTACATAAAAAGATCAATTGTCAGCAGGAAAATGTGAGAATTCAACATAAGTATCATTACAAAAGAAAATCAAGTAAAGAGTCCCAGCAAGCTTGGAGAAACTAAACAGAGGCTAGGCTCAGAAACAAGACACAAATATAGTCGAGTGGACAAAAAAAAACTCAAATAAAAAAAGTAACTAATTTGGATTTTCTGAAAAGCGAATTAGAAAGTTTACACTTTGTCTTTAGGACTCAAAAAAAAATTTCTGTGTGATGATCATTCAAGTCACCAAAATCAACAATATTACCTGAAAGATACAGAGAAAAAGCGATATAGAACAAAGAAAAACGTGACATACTGAAATGGTGCTAAACAAAGCACATAAAAGAATAGTCTGTTGATTCAACTCTAAATTCCCAACAAATGGGTGAATTTTTACGAATTTAAGTGCCCGAACCAAACATGTGACTATTGGAATCTTTACAAAATAAAGGAAAATAACCATCAATACTAATATCACAAGATAAGACAGTTTAACTCAAACTAGTGGTATACAGCCATTATTTTGGTAAAAAATGAAAAAAAAAAAAAAAAAATTAAAAAAATGTTATTTAGATGTTGAACCTTGTAAAATTCAATAGT